ACTGTACATAAACGTTTGAGGGCCATGTCTTTTCTTTTTTTTTTTTTGAGGAAGATTAGCCCTGAGCTAACTGCCGCCAATCCTCCTCTTTTTGCTAAGGAAGGCTGGCCCTGAGCTAACATCCGTGCCCATCTTCCTCCACTTTATATGTGGGACGCCTACCACAGCATGGCTTGTCAAGCGGTGCCATGTCCGTACCCAGGATCCGAACCAGCGAACCCCGGGCCACCAAGAAGCGGAATGTGCGCACTTAACCGCTGCGCCACTGGGCCCGCCCCGAGAGCCATGTCTTATTCATCTTTATATACTCAATGCCTAGTAGAATACATAGCAGAGATTATAATCTAAAAGAAAAGCCATGGGAGGGGTAGAGTTGGCAGGGTGAGGATTCAGATAAAGACAGGGAAGGGTTTTTAAAAGAGTAAGAAACCCAACTGTCCATCAGCTGATGAACGGACACATAAAAGGTGGTATAGCCATACAATGGACTATTATTCAACAATAAAAAGGAAGGAGATACTGACATACATTACAACACAGATGACCCTTGAAACATTATGCTAAGTGACAGAAGCCAGGCACAAAAGACCATATGTCGTATGAGTCCACTTATATGAAATGTCCAGAATAGGCAAATCTATAGAAGTACAATAGTGGTTGCCTAAGACCGGGATGGGAGGAGTGGTGGTTAGGGAGTGACTGTTAACGGGCAGAGACATTTTTTGGGGGGGATGATGACACATCTAAAGATGACTGTCGTGATTGCTGCACAACTTGGTAAATATACTAAAAACCATTGAATTGTATACTTTAAATAGGTGAACTGTATAGTATGTGAATTATATCTCAATAAAACTGTTTAAAAAAAGAATGAGAAGAAAAGTTTGAGAGAACCGTTAAAAGTATAAATCACTGGCTTTAGAACACAAGTTTGTTTCTTTTTTAAAGGAAAAAGAGAGTTTTCTGATATTTGAGTAGCTCTGACATGTGGACAAGAACGAGACCGCAGGAAGCCTTTGGAGAAAATACTAAGAATTACCACACTAGATCATAACGTCTCTACAAGTCCTTCTGTGGAAAACAAATCTGGCATCTATTCTTACCCTTCCTTTCAAAATGCTCTCTAAGGTTACAAATTACCTCCTACTCCTAGTTCAACAGTCTTTTCATCATGATCACTGTTTCTGAACTTCAAGACTATATCAGATACTGTCAACCAACTACCCTTCCTATCCTTGGCTTCTGTGGCACTGATACACTTCCTGGGTCTTCTCAGAATGCTTTACCCATGGGGCCGGCCTGGTGGCATAGTGGTTAAGTTCACGCACTCCACTTTGTGGCCTGGGGTTCATGGGTTCAGATCCCTGGCATGGACCTAGGACCACTCATCAAGCCACACTGTGGCAGCATCCCATATAAAGTAGAGGAAGACTGGCACAGATGTTAGCTCAGTGACAATCTTCCTCAAGCACAAAAAGGAAGATTGGCAACAGATGTTAGCTCAGGGCCAATCTTTCTCACAATAAAAAAAAAGGATTCTTTATCTATTAGCCTACGTCACCCAAATATCAAACCTCAAAGCTCTTTCTCCATTATACTAACCTCCCAACACTCATCTACTCATGCTTTTGACTACTACCTACAGCCCTAATGCACAATCTACGTTTCATCTCTATTCATCATACAGCGATGTTCTACAGACACTTCAATATTACTCTAGCCAACTCTTGATTATCTTCACTATGGCTAGGAAGCAGTGGTGTAGCTCAACCAAAATAAACAATTTCTATGCTATTTCTATATGGCTTTGCAATGTGGTATACATTTTTTTCCATCTAAATAGATGTTTCTCTAATTGTTTTGCTTAGATTAATACTAGTCTGCATTTCCAGAGCCAAACCAACAAGGAGAGAAGACTATGAGGAATGGCAGACTAGCCTGCTACTGAAAAATTGATTGTACACAATCTTAGTCTTGCCCATATAACCAATCTTAGCTCATTTTCCTTCACAGTGATAACTTCCTATTATCAGCCATCTTCCCAGGATTCTAGGCTTTAATCTTTTAATGTTTCATTTGCTCTCTTCCCTTTGCCCACACTCCGTCATCACTAAGTTCACATTAATTTCTACTCACACATACATCTTTTTATATATTCTATACACTTTCTTAGGACAGTATAACTTAACGATTAAACGTATAAGCTCAAAGGCCAGACTGCCTGGGTTCAAATCATGGCTCTGGTGCTAACTCTCTATGGGATTTTGGGCAAGTTACTTAACCTCTCTGTAACTCAGTTTTTTTAAAAGAATAGTAAGACCTTATTATGAAGATTTTATGAGTTAAACACATCTAAAGAGCCTAGAACAATGCCTGGCATGCAGTAAGTACTCAATAAACATTAGCTATTATTTTATTCCCATAATCACTATCTTATGTCAGACCCTCATCATCTTATTCCTAAAACTGTCCAAGAGCATTCCAGTCAGTCTCCCCACTCCAGGACACTCAGCTAATACAAAAACCTTCCAAAGAAAGAATATGCGTCAATTTAACTCTCATTCTTTAGAACCCATTGTGATACCCTATCAAACTAAACCCTATATCCTTGATAGGTTCTCCACAAATACCTGCTCACCAATCCTAAACTCACTTATTATTATTCACCGCTACAGATTCTCTGTGCCAGTCAAGCTGCTTGGTATATTTTGTACATTGTCACTTCTCTGTCTTTGCAAATACCCCTTCTCTCTCCTGGAATACATCTCTTCCCCTTCGAAAAGTCCTATCTTTTTCAAATCTCACTTTGACTTTGGTTACACTGTTATCCCAACCAGGAGTTTGAAGTTGCTTGGTAATTATGAATGATGTATGCTATCTGTTGTTTCTCCAACAGAAGTTGAAGCGTTTGAAGAGACCACATATTTTATTCCTTGTCTCTTCATACAGACTACTTCACACATAGCACAGTTATCTTGCAGAAGTACACAAATGCTGACTGACTTACTAAACGATATGCCTCAATGTATCAGAAAAACATTCTCTATTTTCCACTGCCCCACCCATACTTAGCATGATGAAAACAGATAGAATCTGTATTTAAACATTTTTATTTTACATAGAGGGAGAATGTACTAACAACTGTACTAGATAAAAGGGAAAAAAAACAAAAATATACTCAAAGAGAATGCACAATGCAAAAAACAAGGCAAGAAAAAGTGAGAATGCTCGTCATTCTGGAATCTAAAAAGTGACCTCAAAATATTAAGATTTTTTATTTCACCCAAACTAATGAACCAAAAAGAGCCAAAATAAACATGTCCTGACCCCATCCAAAAACTATATAATAAAAACATGAGAAACTCCCCAGTATCTTGAACAGCACAAAACCAAGAACAAGATTCACCTCAACTGAAGAAACACAAAAAGAACACAGAAATCCTCAAGTTTATCTAAAACTCTTCAATCACATCTATATATGCCATCCAAACAGGAAGATAGAGAGGAGTTACTACTTTTTTTAAACATGTGCTAAAGTCTAGGAGGAATAAAAGGCTTCTCTTACTGCTACTGTGCCCGTTCCCTGTTAAGGGAACCATCTGTGGTCACAGAGCGAAACACAGGAAGATGGAAACCTTAACCTGGAAGAGACATTAAGGAAAGAAACTACTCAAAAGACATGTTTCAAAACCAGTTTCAAAAAACAGAGAGCGCAATGATATTCAATAGAAAGAGAGAGAAAGTGAAATAAAAGCTCTCCCAACAAACAAGTGACTCAGAGAAACTATTTAGTGCTGCCTCGCAAGTGAAGAGCTATGTATGTAACACTTCCACGACATGCAGCTTGTTTCACTGGGGAACAAAACGGAAGTAAAAAAATAAATGCCAGGAAAAGACAAAAAAGATGCCCACCAATCTCTGACTACCTGGCCAGCCCAGCTCAGCTCATTCAGGAGTCCAACTAGCAGCGAGAGAGACGTGGATTGCACAACCCAAAAAAGAAAAATCTTCGCCAACCACACACACAAAAAGTAGAACGGAGAAGTGAAAACCATACACCTCGAGGCAGCAGCGGCTAGAACTTATTCTCTCTTTAGGATTAAGCAGAAGAGAAAAGCACAAGAGCAGCTCAAGAAGGAGGAAAGATGTCAATGAAACTCAGCCCTGTTATGTCCCCTACTAGCCTCGATTTCAGAGAGTACAAGTCTGGCTTCTTCCAGCTAACCAACCGTCGGCCTCAGCAAAGCAAACTGACCCTGACACCTTCCACGCCAGCCGGAGGAAATCGCAGAGGAAAAACCACCCTGTGCACCTCCCTCCTCACCAGCTGCAAAAATGGAGAGGCGGGGGGTGCGGGGGGGACACCCTACCACGTGGGCAGGATGCAACACACACAGGACAGCAACACGTCCGCATGGAACGGCTGCCGCTGCCCTAATGCCGGCAAAGGACGCGGCGACAGGATGGGTGGGAACGCAGGCCCCTCGCACGGGCCTCCTCACGCCGAAGGGCATCCCCGGGGCGTCAGGGACGGCCCACCGCACCGGCCGAAAAGCACCCCCAAGCCTAGAGGGAAGCAGCTGCATCGGGCCGGGGCAGGGGGCCAGCCCAGGCCGGGGGGCAGGTCACGGAGGAGGAGATGGCTACTGTCTTACGACGCGGCGCCCTCGGGAACCCCTTCTGGCTCCCCCGGCCCCGCCTGGGGGAGGGGCGGGAGGCGCGGAGCCGCCGCTTCCCGGCTGAGGGGCAGCAGCAGCTGAGAAGCGCCGCGGGGGAGGGAGGGACCCAGCCCTCGGCGCCCGCCAGGCCCCAGCCCGGGCGCGGGCCCCGGGCCCCCTGCCCCGCCCGCCGCTCGCCGCTCGCCCCGCAGGGCGGCCACGGCTGAGAGAAGGGAGAGGGCGTCTCGCGAAGGGCAGCCCCTGCCTCCGTCCCGGGAGATGCCCCAGCCCCGCCTCCTCGCCCGCCGCCCTGGCCCGGCCGCCCCAGCGGCGGGCGCTCACCTCAGGCTGCGCAGGCCGGGACGGCCCGGCCGAGCCCCCGGCCGCTGCGTGCGTCTCCGCCCCCCACCCCCGGGAAAGGTCCCAACGGCGCCTGGTGCGAGCGACCGAGGCCCAGAGCAGCGCCGAAAGCGGCGGCGGCGGCGGCGGCGGCAGCGGCGGGAGCAGCCAACATCCGGGGCCGCGCACCCGGAACTACTTCCCGACACGCTCCCCATCCCGCCCCCGCCGCCACCGCCCCCACCTCCCGCGACGTCGCTGCGCCACCGGCACGGCGTCGGCGGCGTCACGGCCCTCCGCGGTAACGCCGCAGCGAGGCGCGCGGGATCCCTCCGCTGGGACAAGTAGTGCCCCGGGTCTCCAGGGGCTCTCCCTCGGCGCAAGGCTAGTCATCGAGTGGCTGGCAGCTCGGAGCGACTTGAGGGTCTCTGCGCCTCAGAGTGGCGACTGGGAATTGGGGGCGGCGCGGGCGGCGGTTGAGGACAGCAGGGACCTGCGGCCTCGGACCCTGCCCGCGGATTCCAGGAGCCTCTTGCTTCGGGGGAACGGCACCTCGTGACCCTGCCCCCCGCCCCCCTCCCCGTCAATCCCTGCCACCTCACCGTAGCGACAGGCACCTTAGCCTTTCCAGGAAACCGGACGCCTTCTCCAACTTGGCACACCGCGGACTCTACAGGCCCCAAGAAAGGCACCTTGCACCTTCAGGACATCCTTCTTTCAGCACTGCCCAAGTCCGGGGTTCTAGACCCATCTCTGCCAAGGCCTTTCCTGGGCCTAGCCTGAGCTTCCTTCTTAAAACGAAGGAACTGGAACTCTAAAGGCCCTTAATGATTCTGAAGTGGCTGCCCAGGTTATGGCCCTTGCTATCAACAGGTGGAGCGTTTAGTAGGGGAGTTCGGGCCACTCGTGAACTTTGGAGTTTACTTCTACGTCAGTCTTCGCTGGCTCTTCCTCTACACTGTTAGCACTGCCAATCTGCCCTGTAATTTCACACTTAATTGCACGCAGACGCGTATGTTGCGTCATCCGCGTTAGTCACGTCTGAAGCACCAGGCTTGCTTTTGGACTCAGAGTAGGTGCTCGGTATTTGGATACTGGGATATGTGTGAGAAGAGTGCTAGGTTGATTGGATGAGAGGAAAACGAGAGGCCGGAGTGAATTGGCCCTGAATTTGACGTAGTCTAATGGGGATAAAGACCTCTGGTATTTAAGGAGCTAAGTACCCAATTGCTTCAGCAAACATCGAACTCCTTCCATTTGCCAAGCATTTTTAGGCACTGAGGATTCAAAGCACTCCTATACACCTTTTCTATGTGAGGCTCTAGCACGATTTTGAGGATGAAAAGGTACATCCGATTATTCAACAAATATTTGCCAATCACTACTAACGTTGTCAGACGCTATTTTAGTGCTTGAGATGTGTCAGTGAACAGGAGAGGGGGGTGGGGAATACCCTTCCTTCTCGGAGTTATCATCTAGTATGAGGAAAAAGACGATAAACATAACAAAAAAATTATTTGGTATGATAGGAGGTGTTTAGTGCTGTGGGAAAAAATAGACCAGGGTAAGGGGTATGAGGAAAATTGGAGAAAGAGGGAGAGGGGATTTTTTTTTAACATTAACCATTTATTCATCAATAATATGTTCATGTGTTCAACAAATACTTCAGCTGCACCCTGTGTTAGGTGCTGGGACTTCTGCGGAGAATAAGCCAGACGAGGTTCTGACCCAGTGGACTCCGGGGTTGGTGGAGACCACAGGCCAGGTGCTTTCACATGTCTTCTCATTCAATGCTTTCATGAAGTCCCTGAGATAGGACTCCTATGCGCATCTTCACAGCTGATGAAATTGAGGCTCAGAAGAGTTAAAAACTTGAGCCAGGATTCAAACCCAATGTCTTCCGAGTCCAACTCCCGTTCCACCTTCACCTCAGGTGAGATGTCATATTTTCCTGTTTCATTACGCCTCACCTCGTTCGCCAAGTAAACTCATGCATTAATCTAGGTGAATGGCCTTAAGCCTGCACTGGGGCAAAAGGGAGGGAGGAAGGCAAATATTTAGAGGAGGAGACAAGAGACTTATCAAAAAATCTAGACGTGTGGAGCAAAGTAATGGGGGTAGCAAAGAGGATTTCATGGAAGAGAAATCAAGATAGATTCATAACATCTTATTCCAATTCCAAGATTCCAGAATGGGATTTTAAATAGAGCCATTAGGGAGAGCCCAATTCATAGGTGACTTTAAGGAGAAACTTGTAAGAAGCGAGGGAGTGAGCCATGCTGTTGTCTGGGAAAGAGTGTCCCAGGCAGAAGGAACAGCTAGTTGAAAGGCCCTGGGGCAAAAGCATTCCTGGAAGTGTTAGAAATGGTGAGGAGGCCAGGACAATTCCAGCGGGGTGAGCAAATGGGAGAGGAATGTGGAGATAAGGTCAGAGAGTGGGGTCCTGTAAACCACTGTCAGGATCTCGGCTAAAATGGAGCCACTGCAGGGGCGAAATGATCCAACAGGTGCTTTCAAAAAATCATTCTGGTGACTGTGCCGAGAGCAGATGGTGAGAGGACAGTGGTGGAAGTCAGAGGCTCCATTATCCAGGTGCAGGATGATGGCTTGGACAAGACTGGAAGCAGTAAGATAAATAACATACAGTCTCTATACTTTAAGAACTCAGTCTAGTGGGAAGCAAATAAATGAGATAATCACAACACACCATGAGAAATAGTATCCTGAAGAGGAGGCCACCCTTGCCAGCTTTCCTGAGAAGACAGAAGTTCCCTCTTCTACCAAGTTGCCAAGGGAATTGGAAGTTTCTGCTTCTTTCTTGGGCCATTGGGTGGATGCTTGATAACACAGCTAACACTCCTCTTCTTCCCAGCCCTTCAGGTCTCAGCCCACCATCATCTGAGTGGGACTATGGGCAAAAGAGTACTAAAGAGCAGTCTGGGTCATGCATTTAAGGAGATGGGCAAAGCTGAGATCATCCCTGTTCGTCAGAGGAAGAAACTGAGGCCAATAGTCACCAGGCTTTAACGTAAAACTGGGATCAAGGTCATTAAAGTCCCAAACTAGGAATCTTTCTGAGCCACTTGAGTGGAGTCAGCCAGATAATGGAGTAAAAGAGTAGAAAGACTTGTGTCTGGATAGCTGCCAGAATGAGGATGGGGCTTAGGGGTCAGCAGCCTTTGAGAAGGAAAGCACAAGCCCCTTATAGCAAAGGATGGAGGAACACCCTTCCCTCACCCCCAAAAAATGTTGTAATGGCCACAGTGGCGGGGGGGATTTGGGGTGAGGGGGGTGAAGCTTAAAGCTCAGATTGAGAAGGCAGACCTAGGTTCAATCTCATGTTCCATAGCTTGCTTCCTGTGTGCCTACATCAAGTTGTTTAGTTCCTCTTCGTGTGTATTTTCTTGCCTATTAAATGGAAAAAATAATCATATCTACCTAGCAAAACAGACAATGCACAGGCTACCATCAAATAAAGGCCCCCAATGACAGTTATTATTAAGTACAAGGTCAAATGTCAGCAGCAAAAAGAGCAGTTCACAGTCTTGGGAGATGAGGGCAGGCTGGGAGGGGAGGTGTAGAGCAGGAGAGCCCTTAAAGAGGAGATGGTATCTAACTCAGGGGCCAGATCCTTAAGAGAAACAGATTGTTCAAAGCAATGAAATAGAGGTGTTATTGTGTTGTTTGCAATCTTTTCCCAGCCTCATCTGGATTACAAATTCCCTGAAAGAAACCCAACCCCGAGCTGGCCTACAGTATCCCTACAAAAACCTTGACTCTGCGGCACTGGCAGTGCGTCAATGCCAGGGTGTTCAACACTTCACGTGACCCACAGCCACTTAGACAAATGAGGCTTTACCTGATCCTTGTCTCCCTCTATTGTAAGACAAAGCAGGAAATGAGAAATGAATTTAAAATGAGCCAAGATCTGCAAGAGGAAGAGAGAAAAACATGAGACAGCCTCTCCTATCATTTCCATCCCTGGAGGAGCCTTCCAAATTCCCTGGATATCTTTGTATAATACTTTATATTTCATGTATTAGATGAAAAAAAAAGTCTATACAAAGGCCACTGGGAAGCTCTCAGCACCGCTAACTCCTATTTAATAACAACACTTGGGTGTTGGTCACTATGCATACTTAAACAGCATTCAATAATCATTTATCTAGCACCTACCCTGTACCAGGCATTGGGCTAAATACTAGGGAGTCGAAAGGGAATCAATAGATTCTCTATCCTCAATGCGCTCCTAGGCTTCTGGAGAAGCAGACATGTAAACAATTAATCTCAATGCAATATGATAGAGATTTGTACTTGTGCCATGGGAACAGAGAAGAAGCAAGACTTAACTATCAGACTGGATGGGGATGGGTGCCCCAAAGAAAGCTTCACCCTTAAAGGTAAGGTTCAGGCTAAGTCTGAATAAATGAATAGGAGTTTGCCATGCAGAGACAGAAGCAAGGCTGTGAGTAGGGAAAGAAAATTTGGAGTAGAGGAGGACAGCTTGTACAAAGTCAAAGAGGTTGGGTAGATACAAGAAAAGTAGAGGCTGTGGAAATTACAGTCTTATAAGTGGTCGTTAAACACTAGTGGCTGATGGGAATAACTAACACATGAAGATGGGCCATGTTGCTCTATGTAAACCATCCATAAATTGAGTTCCTGCCCTCTGGGAGCTTGGTGTCAATTTTAGATTATATCATCAGGGCAGAATGTGATCCTTCCCGAACACTCTACTGCTTAATCATTCTCAGAAGAAAGGAGTAGCTTAGACTATTTCTCCCCAGTGGAAGGCAGTAGCCTAATCTTTTTTTCCTAGTTCTGGCAATGCATTTGCACTAGTGCACTCATACCGCCTACTTCCTGCACCCCCCCACCCTATCCATATTCCTTGTAACCACCGGACTCAAACCTGGCTTACCTCCACTCTCAGAATCAACCAAAGCTAATTTAAAGCAAAATGAAAGACAAGAGGGCACCAGGACAGCTGAACAAACATTAACAAATGTGTGGATTAAATAAAGTGTTTACATTATGTGCAAGCAGTGGTGTCATTGAAGCTTGGGTGGCACTAGGAAGAGTGAGTCAGAAGATGTTCAAATAGAGTGGGATCAGAGGAAATCTCCTTCCAGTTA